TGTGATACGGCTGCGTTTCGTCTGGGAGTCCCGCCGCTGCTGCGTGATGGCGCACATCACCATAAATCAGTATCTGCAGCAAGTAAGCAACGCTTTTTTTATTGGTGGGCGCTGTTGGATTACGTGGATGTGTTTTTCTTTGCTGGAAATTTGTTACTTCGTTTAAGAAGTCAATCGACCTCGATTATGTGGTGTGATAAGCAAACACGATTTTTAAGTCAGTAGTAAGCATACCGCTGTGTGCCAAGGGTGCGTGCCTGGGGTTTCTGAGAAGCACGATGGCTACTGCCATAACGGATGGTGAAGTGGTTTATCCGTAAGAACTGACGTGGTGGGGTTGTGTGTGCGTGCAGTAACAAGCGCAGCTCAGGGATTGGAGAAGTACAGGGACTGAAGTAGCACACAGACGTGGAAGCACAAGCATGCGTGGCATGGAGGGTGGAAATACAGCAGCAGGGTCACAAGGGTACAAGCTGGACTGAACTTGCAGCGTCAAGCTGTTAGTGTGACCACTCGTACTGCTTCTTTCTGAACCATCATATTTTTGTCATTGTTATCATCTTACTCGCTTTGGTCAAGTCAGTTGAGGGAAAGGCACAAAAAGAGAATAATTGCTTGGTTTTTAGTCTCAAAAATGGAGCAGCTGAGATCTCTCAGGTCAGTGATCTGCTCTGAAAAGTCAGTGTCTTCTCCAGTTGACGGTCCATGTATCTCTTAGTAAGAAATACTACTTCCAAAACACAAAACTAGCTCTCCTTTACTTGAAAAAAACCCACACCAATCTCTGAAAGAGTTTAAGCAGTTGATTTTTTTGTTGTTTTTTTGTTTTCCCCATTTGGCGTGGGCTTTCCATACAGCAAAAATATTTTTTTTTTCGTACCAGGACACAAAAGTATGACAAATAAAGCAACAAGAGTGAGAAAGGAACTCTTTAAGAAGTAACATCTAAAACTGCTTCCACAACCGAAGAAATTTCCAGCTTGATGTCACAGTAAGCTTCTCAGACAGACTATCTGAGGAGTTCTCTTTAGCAGGAAGCAGAATTAAACTGTTCTTCCACAGAATATAAAATTTACAGTCTTGACAGGTTTCATAAGTATTCTATACAGATGCTAGTCTAATATCAGACATTGCCTTTGGAATGACAGCTCCGTGTTTAATCTACCTGTCTTTATTTTTAAGCATTAATCAAAGATTGTTTATGCCTTCACATATATGTTTGATGCCCAAAAGTCCAACTGGAATTTTAAAAAGCTTAACCAAATCTGGTTCACAACTTCTGCTTTGCAATGCTAAACCCATGTAAGTTGTTTGGGGATTCTTTGGTTTGCTTGTGTCCTGCAAATAAGGAAGAATCCATGATAATGTTCACCCTACCTTCTCCCTGAGAGCTTTTTGAAAAACAGGTGTATTGAAAGTACAATATTGATTCATTCAGTTTTAAACCTTTAAAAACTCACATTTGGGTTGCTATCGATGTGGATGAACAGTGGTAACAAGAAGCTGGCTTCTGTAGTCATGTATCAATGTGTTGTGTGGCTGGACTTTGTAATGTGGCTGTTTTCTTTGGAAGATGCAAGAAGCCATTGACAGCAGAGATGGACAATTTTGTGCAGAATTGGTGTCATTTAAACATCCACATGTTGCAAACCCAAGGCTACAGGTGAGAATCTTGTCTGTGACTTTTCTTTTGTTTTGCTTTCAGTTTTCCTAGCTCTCTATATGGATTCTTTTCCCTTGGAGATAAACCTCAGAAATCTGTTTCATAAGCCAGAGCACAATTCCCTTGTAGGTTTGTTTCTCTTTTCTTCTTACTAGGATATTTCCCCTGGATGCCTTTTTGTGTTCCACTTTGAATTCCTTTCTCTGTAGATACAGTCTTGAACATCCCTTCTGGCCAGGTCTACATTAGTGTCGTAGCATCGTGGAAGTGACTATAAAAAGAAAAACAGTGGGTAGCAAGGGTCTAGTGTTTGTGCTACATACATTTCAGATGCTTTTATTTAAGGCTAGCTCTAATCAGGTTCTGGAGACAGAATGCATGCTAGCAATTCATTACACTGGATGTGATAATTAATGTAATTTAAGGTTCTGAGGGATAACAGGGGCATGTATGCATAAAACTGCTGGGAGAAAATATTCATTTGATGTTCTGTTTCTGGTGCATTGGATGTTCCCTTAATGTTTCATTGATTTATTCTATATTTAGCTTCCATCTCCAGAGGAGAAATGTCAGCAAGTTTTGGAACCACCATATGATGAAATGTTTGCGGCCCACTTAAGGTAAAGATGGACCAGAAATGTAAAATCACTTGTGAGGCATCCAGGAATAGGGAAGGATATTCTTAAGTTTACTTAGTTATTTTAAAAGACTGAAAAGAGAGTCCAGGAGTCTTGGAACTCTTTTTGTCTGTGCTAATCTTGGTGACAGTTTCAATAAGCATTAGCATATTACAGTTGGTACTGTATGTGTTACACAAACAAATCCTGATTCTTCTCTTGGATCAGTTTTCTACAATTATCAGGCTTAGTGCTGTGGTAAAATACTTGTGCCATTTTGCTAGGAACATTTCTACTCAAATTTCTGTGGCTCTTTTAAATGAACTGTAAAGCTCTGTGCCTGTTAAAAGGCAAAAATAAATATTTGTCTTACGTATAGGATATTTTCTGATGCATTAATGCACTTTTTCTTTGACAGGTGTACTTATGCTGTTGGAAACCATGACTTTATAGAGGCGTACAAATGCCAAACAGTTATTGTCCAATATCCTTTTCATAAATCTTGTGTATTGTTTTTGAATTGACTGTATGTCTTCCTGTAGAATAAGTTATCTTTACCCCTTTTAAATTTAATAGCCCGTGGTCTGCTTCCGAATACACTTCAGCTATTTAGGTTCTTAAACAAAGAAATACAGATACACTCTTCTTTCATCTTTCTCTAGGACTAAGACAGAATCTGTCACTTGGCTCTAGGATAGAAAATTTTTTTCTCACAGAGTAGAGGAGACCCTCAAATCATTAATATACATCCCAGCTTGTTCTTGGCTGGAGGGGAAGATACTGATAAAGAAAGCTGCTATCTTACCTCTAAGGGACCAGTGTTTGTCACGGCAGCTGCTGCACCGAGGAGCGCGTGGCTGTGCTTGCGTTCTTCCCTACTGTATCTTTGCATCCTGACTTCTCACCTACTTGCTGCTTTGTTGGTTTCTGCCCTTCCATGTAGTGATGTGTGGTACCATACAACTGCTGGGTTTTATATCTGTGCCTCATTTAATATCATTTTAAATTTTCCTGAATACAATACATCTTTCCTGCGAGCGTTTCAGGCACATAAAGAGGAAAACTGGTGAGTGCTACATCATGGAGAGCTGCTAGAAACCAGACTCATCTTTCACTATTATAAGACTATAGTAGTCAAACTAAAATTATGCCTATAGTTTTTGTTTATCCCTAACGATACTTGAATGCAGCCTAATTGTTCTTGCTGCCTTTTTGAGCTTTTAGATCCAAAAGTGTGGAAATTAAACATCTAAACTTAATTATGTAGAATGGTCCATAAGTAAACACGTGAAATATTTGTTCAAGGTGAGATGGTATTTTATTAAGGTCACCACAGAAATGTTTCTGAATTAATTCTTTCTCCAGCGTAGGATTTCTGAAATGCTGACATCTTGAAGACCTTTCCTTTTAAAAAGTGCATCCTTCTTTATTTAAAGATTTATGTATACTTTTCTAGTTTTAAAACAAACTAGCAAAAAAAAAAAAAAAAAGTTTGTTTCTTGTGTCTTACTTATTGTGTGATTTGCACATATTAAGTATACTGTGTTTTACATTTCCAGGGCTTTACCTATTATGTATGCTGTAGCCCTCGATCTTCGAATTTTTGCAAATAATGTAAGTAGGTCTGATTAATAGCCTCATTACTGTAGGGGTAACAGTTAGGAGTTTCCATGGTTGAAATATTTTAGACTTTAGTACGTAGCCTAAATTTGCTCAGTACTGTTTAACTCCTTGTTTAGGATTTTGTTGACACACTAAATTCATCCAGTCCTATCGAAAAACTAGATTACTCAGTCTGCCCGTCTCCTGTTTGCAGCTTGAACTAGAGAGGTTCTGAGGACCTGCATGCAACTCACAGCAGTTGCTTAAAGCATATAAAGTGACTAAATACTGTCTTAGTAGCATGGTGGCACAACTCACTGTTTCCATGTGTTATCCTTGGGATTTGATGGAGATCTTTATAAGGGTGGAGATATCCTAGACAACTGAGATGGCCCTTGCTGAGCCCAAACAACTGCTGACAAGCAAAAAAACAAAATTACATTATTTTTATCAGGCTAGTGAATTGAAGTAGCTTGTGTAGGTATCTAATCAGAACTGCTAGGCCAATGTAAGTGGCAGGGTCACGATCTTACTCCTAGTTCACTGTACCTGAAGAGGCGAAGCTAGAGTTGAAGTTGGGCTAGAGTTTTACAATACCCAGTATTTTCAGTGTTTGTCCCCTCAGGACATTCTTGTGCCCACTCACCCACACACAACACATTTAGCATGCTTGCACAGAGAATATTTTTTGTGTGTGCATGCCTGCTCTGTTACAAGTCTCGATTCTCAGTTGGAATGGGTCAGATTCATCTATTTGAGATGCATGAGAAAGGGGAAAGTGGGATCAGTTATGTTGGAAGTGTTTGAACTCTGTTTTCTAACCTTAGTATATTCAAAGGCTGCTGATACAGAGAAGGCTTCTGCAGCAAAGGATACATGTCCATTTCTCTTCCTCAAATTTCAGCTCACGAGAATGCAAGGATTATAATAAAAGTCCTTAGAAAGAACATAGTAAATATCTACTCACTATTTCCCACTCCCCCCTTCTTCATTGTTTAAGTTCTGCATTAATCAGTGCATGGATCTTTCCCATGTGTTGGCAATTCATTTTTTTTTCTCTTGCCACTGTACCATATGTTTTCAATTCCTTCTGAAAATCCCAGGTCCTAGCAGTGTGTGTTACTACTAGAAAATGTTGAATATTGTTTAGAAATAAAATCTAGCCCTTGTGGCTGCAGACAGAATCATAATTATAAATTCTAAAACTCCAACTCCATAGCTGGGGCGTCATTTTAGTTTGCTTTTATTCAGAAGACATTTTTTTGCCAGACTCTTGGTCTTTGAAAACTTGGGTTGAGATATTAATGCTCCAGTTTAGCTGTCAGATGATGCTGAATTCAGGTTTCTGAGAGCTGCGTTAAGCTTAGTGATGTTAAAGGTAATAGCGGTCAGTGCTGTTTTCAAAGGGCTGTCCTCCTGTGCATTAGGTTTGGTACATGTTCAGGAGCCTCTTGAAGTGTTTTCTACTCTTCTGTGAGCTTGACTACCTTCTGGATTTGGGGGATAGCAAGCGTGACAAATCTATTGCTACAAGACCTTATAAAATGCTATATTAAGGAATTGAGCAGTTTACAACCCAGCGAATCAGGATATCAAATTACAGATTGTTTTTTGCTGTGTAATGACAGGCAGATCAACAGCTAGTGAAGAAAGGGAAAAGCAAAGTTGGCGACATGTTGGAAAAAGCAGCAGAACTGCTGATGAGCTGTTTTCGAGTCTGTGCCAGTGACACGTAAGTGAAAGATCTTCTACAGAACTTGCACTATTAAATTGTTAACAACTTAGTGAACTTCACGTAAGATTTTTCCACTTGCTAAGACCATATCTGTGTAAGAATGAACACTTCAGAGGCTTGTTTCCTCTCTTTTATACTGTGTTCTCTCTTGACTACAGCTGGAGTGGCCTCCCTTCAGGTTTCACACTCCTAGCAGATGTTGTTGGGAGGGACCGATCAAGTTTCCATTACTCAGGAAAGATTGTTAACGCTTTTGTGCCCTGCTCAGTTGTGAAGCTTGCTTCATTATGATTAGGTGGAAAAGAAGTGACTCTTTGGTTTCCAGTCTTAGCAATTTTAGCACTTCTGAAGTGGACAAAATGTTTTCGTTTGTTTGTTTTCTCCATCTTTCTTTCACCTTGAATATTATAAGCAACTGTTATGCTACTGTATGTGTTACCTGTAGAGTGGAGTGAGAACCCTCTGATGAAGTTGAATAGCATTTTGCATTACACCTTTTCATTATGTTGAGAAGAAATGTAGCAGAGCTGTTTAAAATTTAAGATGGGAGCACATGTTCTGTTTTGACAGTGCTGGTATGGCTTAAGAGAAGGAGTTTGGCCTTGAGTTTTATGTGCAGACACCTGTTTTCACCCTAAAATCCACAAAATATCTGTGGAGGGAATTTACCATATGGGCAAAGTAATTATTTTCTTATGGTGTTCAGTACTAGTAGTTTTTTTCTTTTTTCTTTTCTTATGTCAGTCGAGCAGGCATTGAAGATTCCAAAAAGTGGGGCATGCTGTTTCTTGTGAATCAGCTGTTTAAAATTTATTTTAAGGTAGGGTTCAAGTCTGGTAAGCTGTGTTTTGTATTTCATATTCTCAGTCAAACCCACCCTTATTTTGTAATGCTAATCTACACTCTCTGAGTAAAACACAGTTAATTTTTTTAACAGATCAACAAGCTCCATCTATGTAAGCCCTTAATTAGAGCAATTGACAGCTCAAATCTGAAGGATGATTATAGTATGGCACAGCGAGTTACGTACAGATACTATGTTGGACGCAAAGCCATGTTTGACAGTGACTTCAAGCAAGGTACTGTGTGCCAGGAAGACAGATTTAAATCATGCTGCTTGGTGTGAAATCTGGCTGACTGAAAATGCGTGTGGAACGTGCCATTGAGTTTGCGTTGGTCCAGGGCCCACAGGCGGAGTCAGATCAGAGATGAGATTACATGACAGTTCTAATTGTAGTAGATGCCCATTTTAAAATATTTGTGGCAGCGAAGTTCTTTGTAGTGCATAATAAAATGCACTGGCATCCACAAGAATGGGTTTCTAAAAGGTTTCGCAAGTGAGGCTTTGCGACTGTCTTGTCCTCGTCAAGTTGCTGTATGCTGTGTAGGAAACCTTCCGCAATCTCTTCTATAGAATTGGTTTCTCAGTGCATTGATTTTGGAAGACGCAGAAACTGCATTTCTGAGATTTCTTATTCACTAATAGAAATGCTTCTAGAGCTAAGGTGTATAACCTTCATCGCTGACATAAGCCCCTGATCAAAATGTATTCTGGAGCCAATTTGGTTACTCTAAACAGTGTCTTCTGCCTGTCAGGCTTGTCATTCTTATCTCTCGGTGAAAACTGGTGAGCGATTTTCATCTTGTCATGCTGTGTGATCTCACGGGCACGTTTCTGCAGCTTAGCAGGTGTGTGTATCACATGCAGCTGACATCCTCTGAAGAACCTAATCTGTGAATTTAGAGTTCTGTTTCATCAGTGCTTCTTGAGATTCTCCCCTCCTTGTACTAGTAACACAATAATGTTACTAAAATGAGCTGAAAATTCCAATATTGATTGTAATTGACATCTAGACCTTGACAAGTTTTCTTTGACTTACTGAAGGAGGACTTACTTTTCTGGTAATACTTCGTATTTTGTGTGAATCTCCAGTAATTCTTACAGCATTTTTCTTAGTGTATTTTGATCGGTGTGGTTCTTTTTTATATAATTTCAAATAATTATGTGTTCAAGCTAGAGATGGACATTGAACACAGAATATGGGTTACAGTTTTAATCCATTTTCGTTGTTGACTTCTGTTACTTGCACTTTTATTTGTGTCTGCAGCTGAAGAGTATCTGTCATTTGCCTTTGAGCACTGTCACCGCTCGAGCCAGAAGAACAAAAGAATGATTTTGATCTACCTGCTGCCAGTGAAAATGTTGTTGGTGAGTAGATGTTAATCTTCTAAACAAATTTTGGGGGGCAGACAACCAAGCTGGTGCTCAGTATGGTTCTTGTTTTTCGCTTAGTGGAATGCAGAGGCTATCTGTGCCTCACTCCCATAGGAGCCAGTATGTACACACTTTGTTGTGTGAGGACAGAAAATGTTGAAGTGTTGTTATTTATAGGAACACAGGAAATGAGAAAGGGGGGGCAAAACTCCCCAAACAAAAACCCCACCCTCCTTTCCCCCTGGTTTCCTCCCACCCCTCCAAAAGGTGCAGCTTGAAGTTACTGTAATAAAGACAACTTTGAGCTCTTTAGAGAAGCCCTTAACAGTGTAACTTAACATCGTGTAGCAGAGCGCCTGTCTGGTGATCAGCTGCACAGATGGGCCCAGGAAAGTGTGGATTCACTAGTACAGTTCTGTCTGCTTTCACCTGGTGAAGAGAAGGAGGATGTGCAAACAGATGGCTGAAGACTTGTTGAGGGGGTTTTGCCACAGGAGAGAAAAGATTCTTGTCTTTGGGTTTTCTATTTGCACCTTGTGCATTTGCCCATTCGAGGCACGTCAGAACAGTCATGAAGTAGAGCATTTTGGTTTTGAAAAAATCAGTGAAGACTGGTTACTATTTGAACATTTCATCTTTCTGTTGAAAGAATTAAGCACATCTCTGCTTCTTGTTCCTGTCCTTTCCCATGTGCTGTGCTATCTTTTATGTGTCCCTGAGTTAGTGGAATGATGCTAACAATTAATTCAGTGTAACTGAAGGGGAAAAAACTAGATTTCAGAGTTGCCTTTTCCTGGCCCTGTTACCGAAGTTACCCATGGAGAGTGTTGTTACCGCCTGCTCCTGTGAGTTGCCATCTTCTGCCTTTGCTCCAACCTGTTTATGCCCATCCTCCCTTTTCCACTCAGTGCTCCCTTTCCAGTCCTTTGCACTGTCAAGTGGGTAAAGGGGAAGCATAGCGGGTGTGATAATTGGCTTCTGCTTTTCATTTTTTGTTTATTGACTTTCTTACTGGTTGTTTTCAGATCAGTCAATGGCAGGATTGATAAAGGAAAACTAACAGTGTTCCTAAGAACTTTGTCCCAGTCCTGACTGGGTGCCTTAAACTGGTGGGTCTGTTATTGCCTACAATTACTGTGGCTTTTCTGGAGCAGTTCTAGTGCACAGGAGGCGCTAAAGGAACTAGATAAAGGTCATTGTTTTTACAGTTGCTTTTTGAAGTCAATGCCCAAACATTAACACTAACCTTAAACTGTACTAAAATAGCTTGGATGTTTTTTTTTATTCCTAGCAGCTCTCAGTAAACATGCGGCTGAGTTCTGCTCTCAGCTCATCCTGCAACCAGGAAAGGAGTTACCAACAGCACAGTATGATGGTAACTAAATTTAAAGTCTGACCCAAGTCAGTGTGCAATCTGATCCCTGCTGTGCAGGGGGAAAAAAACAAAGTTTCTTTTTGATAGGGTAGGTGGTTCAGCCTTACCTGATCTAGCAATGAGAATTAGTTTTGTTTCTTTAAATTTAAACTTTCTGTCTGTGTTTTTTGTTTTGTTTTTTGAGAGGACATTTTTATTTCCACACAAGAGCACAGTGAAGAAAAAAATCTGTTACAGACTGAGCTAGCACTTGACAGTGCGGAAGCACTGCTTGTATTATTAGTAATGCTAGGGATTCCCGTGGTTCTTCTGTTTGCGGATTAGATCATACAGCTATGACATAAAATTTGCATCTGCTTAGGCCTCGTGTCACAGGATCTTGATTTTACAAGTTTGATAACTCTTCCCCAACATTAAGAAATATGAAGACTCCCTATACCATGATAAATAGGTAGTTATTGTGAGTTGATCTACTAGGTGTTTGGCAGGGGCGAGGGAGTTGTCTTACAAATACTTCTGTTCACCTCTTGTTCTGCGGGGAAGAAAAAAACAAAAGTGGTTAAACATTTGTCTTTTTCTGTAACAAAAGTTTTTATAACTGACTAGATTACATTTAAAATGCATTTGACTCTACCCTGGAAAACTTGGAAACCATTTATTTTTCAGGGCCACATGCCAACAGTTCAGCTCTTAAAAAAGTATGACCTTATGCAGTTTGCTGAAGTAACAAAGGCTGTGAGGTATGATGATTGTTTTACTGCATTGTGTGTTAATTTAAAAAGTGTTAAGTGAAAGGTGTTTATGTGGGATGACTGAGGAAGGTAGGGGAGGGATATTCCTACCAAGTCAGACAATTTCTTTTCTCATTTGAGTGAGACCTTCTCATGTTTTCATTTTTTCATTCTCATAGTGAAGGCAATCTTCTCCTACTGAATGACGCTCTGACAAAGCATGAGACTTTCTTTATTCGATGTGGAATCTTTCTTATCCTTGAGAAGCTGAAAATCATCACGTACAGAAATCTCTTTAAGAAAGTGTAAGCATAACAAACCCCCCATTTTGGCAAAAGTGGATTTAATATGGCTTCATCTAGGACTGAGATAGAGACATACATGCTCCTTAGTTCTCTCTGAGAGAGCTGAATTCCCGTTAAAGTGAATGTATTGTAGGAAGGCCGTTTTTTCTAAGGACCAGAATTTTTGGGTGATTGTTTCTCAGTAACTGATTTTTTTCTGTTGTTTCTTTCAGATACTTACTACTCAAAACCCATCAGCTATCTCTAGATGCCTTTCTGTTTGCCCTGAAATTCATGCAAGTAGACGATGTTGATATTGATGAAGTCCAGTGCATTTTAGCTAACCTTATATATATGGTATGTGCTGACCACTTGTTGTCTGGTCCTTCCACACTTCAAACAGTAAAAAATACTAGGTTGAGAATAAAAGTTTATTACAAAAAACATATCAGTAATCCCAGGTTTTCTTCTGTAAAAAATGTTGCTTCACTTGTGCCCAAAGAGTTTTCGTTTGACATAAGGGCTTCCTCTAGTTCTCGCCTCTGTTGCAGGGTTCAGTTATAACTTGAAGTTGAATTTTATGTTACAAATCTAGTACTGACATTTCTATATATGCAAATACTGATTTAAAAAGACCAAAATTTTAGCTGGGACCAAAGAAAGATTTGTACTTCTGTGTTTGAAGTAGGAGACTCTCAACATTCTAACATCAGGAAAAATTAAGACCAGTTTTCTTTGGTTTTGTTCCACATTTTGTCTTTTACTCTAAATGGATCTCAGCTACGCATGAACAGATAAAGGCTTGAAATTAACAGATTTCTAATAAATTGGAGATTTTAGAGCGGCATTGCAGTGTCAGCAAGAAAGTGAACCACTTTTCTGTTTCAGAAACAGATGATTGGGTGTGGTCTTGAAGTAACAGAGGGTGGGATCAGGTGGCTGGAGGATTTCTTTCAGTGTTCCAACATTATGTGTCTGAAAAGAAAGTGCTATGTTATTTAGTTTATTAGGTATGGAATAACGATTAATTAAAATCCTAATTTTAAAGTGAGCAAGAGTAAATTTAGAAACACTTCTGCAGAGCTCTGACTCTTCAAGAAAATGTAAGCAGACCAGGAGGGGGCCCTGGCAACAGGCTCTCAGTCTGACAGCACCGTGAGTAGGCAAACGTGGTTATGGTTCCAACTTTCTGGTTACTCTGTGAGTTGACCCACTTACAGGTATGAAGTGCAGTAGTGCAGTGGTGATTGAGTATACACACATAGCTTTGCTTGATGTGGTCTGAAGAGAGCTGAGGTTCTAGGCATTGTTTTACCAGCTTCCAGTACTAACGCTTTCTTTTTCTCCTTCGGTCAGGGTCACATTAAAGGCTATATATCTCATCAGCATCAAAAGCTTGTGGTCAGTAAGCAGAACCCATTTCCTCCGCTGTCAACAGTGTGCTGAGCGTTGCATCTTATCTGTGCAAGCACTTTTCAGATACTCCGCTTGCCCAGCGGGGCTGCTCCTAATCACCCTGAGGACACTGTAAATGATGTGGTGCGTGGCCAGGACTGGAATTCCAGGAACTGTTTGTGGCTCCTTTCCCAGAATGACCAAGGCTGTGCCAGTGTTACAGAGCGCGTTGGAACGAAATGCTAACTTTTCAGTGATAGTTTCCGCAGGCTTTCTAGATCATTCAAAGTATTTAATGACGAAATAAAGTAAAGCATTCCAAATTCCTTCCAAACTACTTAAAAGCTCTAATAAAGTACTTTGTGTTACTATATCTGCATTTATCTTTTGGAGAGGAGAAGTATCATCCCTTGTTACTCGTGTTAATCCACTCTTCAGGGTGGGAATGATGTTTTCTTTCATGATTTCAGTTTTTTTAAGTCACTTCAGTAGTCTTGCTGATATTAAATACTGTCTTCAAGCTTCCTCTATAAACTGGAGAAGTGCTTGACACCAAAAGCTTTACAGTGTCAGCAATACTTACGGGTTCAAGTAAATGTGGGATTTTTGTCTGTAGATGCCCACAGAAGGGTTTGGGTTTTTTTAATTCTGGTAATACTTTGTTTTGCTTTTGTTGTGATGAACAAAAGCTTAGCTAGGTAACTTATCCATACTGTGATTTATTCTGCTTCTGAGGCAAACACTGCCACTGGATCCATTATTTTAAGTGTTACTGCCTTGGGGGTTTTGTTTGTTTGCTAGGGAGTGGTACAACGTATCTTCGTCTATAGCGATGGAATGGTAGTTCGGGGTTTTTAAAACTATTTTTAAAGGGAATAAAACATTTTTTCCCCCTCTCTGAGAGTTGGGTTGTAGTTTACCCACTAAATGACATGGACATGATTCATAAGGGAAAACATAGGTACCATGTACGAGGGGAAGCATTTTTCAGTGTGATGAGAGTGTTAAGTCCTACATCAACATAGGCATTTAAAGGCTTCGAGTTCCCCTGGCTCTTCATAAGTTGTTCTTGTATGGATTCTGAAATAATAATATGAATTTGCTGAATCAAACTCAGGGTAACAAGAATTAAAAGGACTCATTTCCTTCTAGCTTAAAATCCCAGAAAAACATCAATGCTTTTTGAGTTTTAGGATGAACAGTTCAGGTTTACCGTGTGGTGCGTCAACAGAAGGAAAGACAAATGGGCTTTTCTATATGTATCGGAGTTATATACGTATCGTTGCAACTTCCATTGCTGCAAATCATGGTAGACAGTCAATTGGGTGTACTGGCTGCATCCAAATATTTCCTTGCAGTGATTGCTAGGGGTTTGGTGCCGGAGGGTTGGTTGTGTTTGTGTCTTATTTCATTTTTTGTTTAAACCATATCATATACCTCGCAGTGTTAGTGAATAGAAATGTTTCCCGGTCGGTGTCTTCTAGTGGCCAAGATCCCAGGATACCGGTCAGAAACCAAGTGCCCTTATACTTGGTAGCCAGAAAGCTTCCTCCTGCCAGTTGTTTGTCCACGGCCTCCTGGAGGTGTCCACAGAACTGCCTGTTGGTGAGGCTGACGTTGAGTGTTTGTTTGCAGTCCTCGGCAGGAAGGTATGAAACCTGCAGCTCATCATCGTGAAGTTCATCGCCTTCCATTCTCCAGCCACTGACTGTACCAGCCAATTTTGGAATTAAAACGTGTTCTGCAAAGTCTCTTTCAGGGGTGCACACAGGAAGCTGGTGGTTGCTGCACTCGACGTGCCCTTGGAGTTTCAGTAGTGCAATGTTGTTCTCACCGGTGTCTTCGTCGTACCGGATGTGAATGTGCTTCTCGCTGACTTGCATTGTCTTCTCAGTTCCACTTGTTCCGTTCAGCCCTGTGAAGCAATGACAGTTCACTGCTCTTCGGAATAATTTATCAGAGAACTGAAAACTGCATGCAAGCTGACAACTGCCCAGTGTTGCTGAGAAATACGTGCAGCGGAGAAACTAAAGGTGCTATTTCTTGAAACCACTGCGGTAAAGGTACGCTAGGAATGAGATCAAGACAGCTTTTCAGTGCTGCCTAGAAACATGCGTAATTTCAGAGGGAAGGACAAACACCCAAGAAGAGAAGTGGATTTTGGCATGTAACAAAAGCCACCTCTAAATCCACCTGGTTTAGCTTATCCCCAGGTGCTGAGTTCTGAATGGCGTTCAAGGGGAGCTCTTGTCTCTCTGGGTGGCTTGTAGGGGGTATGGGGCAGCTCCAGTTCTAGCTCAAGATACTTAACTGAGGTGCTTAAATGAGATGACAGCAGGTTTGTTTCCTTTAACAGTGTTTTTATGCAGCAAAAATTCTAGTAAGCTTTTTTTTTTTAAATTAGCTTGTCAATACTAAAATGTGCTGCAAGGAGAGACAGTGGGTTTGGTCACCTACCAGCACCAACCCCGATTTCGAAGTGGCTGTGCAGAAGGGCACACTCCGCTGTAGTCAGTACGAAGTTACTTTTTAGCAGCACTCCTCCACAGAAGCCCTTCCCTTCGGAGTTTAGCAGCAGGACCTAAGAAAATGCGAAAAAACGATAGATAGCATTGTCCATGTGAGGCTGAGTGATGGGTTTCATGAATTGCTAGAAATACCTGCCAAGGAAATCGCTCATCACGTTTCTTCCTGGTTTCACTTATCAGATTATTATTGTCTTGAAGTCTGCCACATGCACAATGATCTAGCAAATTAATTAAAAAAAAAAATTAAATAACCTCATGCTGTATCATTTCAAGACAACTACTATCTTACTGCTTCCACCTTGACTTTGGGGTTTCGTTTTTGCACCAAGGAAAAGGAGAAAGACAGTTTCTCAGCTGGTGAAAATCAGAATAATTCGCTCGGTGTCTCTAATCACTTAGCGATGGCACTGAACACTTTGGGTTGTTGCGTGAGGCTTGTGGTGGCCGGATTTTGCTGTTCCTGTGGCTGGGGAAATGAGGCTTCCTCTCCAGCCAGCCTCTCCGGCTCACTTTCTCAGCTTTGTGTCCCATGTCTGGACTGCGACTTTCTGTTCACTGGTGGCATGGTCTTGGGTCACGCAAATGGGGTTCTGTTCAGGTGAAGCTGAAGCAGAAGGCACCTTCCAGCAGCACATGTAATGTACTCTCATAGCTAATGGGTGCTTGGTCCACGGGACCAAACGAGCTAGTCTGAAGTAAAGCCCACCTGAAATGTGTGTTGAGTGTGGACATCAAGCCTTCATCACCAAGAGCATGGCTCTACAGCTCCTGTTCTGTTGCCTTGCTTGCTGATATAGACAAGGGCCTAAATATACTAATGTGGGTTTAGTAGGCCCACTTTGTAAAGGGGTGAGGTTGAATAAGATACCTAGTATGAGAATGAAAAAATGAAGAGGACTACTGCTTTAAACTAATTAATATGGCAGAAAATGTTGCCTTTCATTTGTCAGACCATCAGGTACCTGATCGGAATTGAACTTCACTCCCAAACCGACAGGTGTTCAGCGGAGTTGCTCTTTACCAAGCAGAGGAATGGAAAACCTGGCCCAGCGAGTGATACGTAGGATGATGCAAATCCTCTCTGCAGACCCAGGTTTAAAAGTTCAGATCAAATACTGCTTTTTTTACCACTCCTCTGGCATCTTGGGTGGTGGTCCCTAGACTCCTCCTTTTTCTGCCCAGTTTGGAAGGTCAGTAATATTCTCAACGCTTGAGTTTCCAAGCAGGCTGGTGGCATCCGGGCATCAGATGGTGGCCTGCCCACCCCAGCACCGAGCGTGTGCCCCCGGCACGGCCGTGCTCACACCTACCTAACGCAATGCACTGTTTGTTGTCCTTCCCGAGCTCGTAGCCATCAGCACAGGAACAGCGGTAAGAAGTACTTCCCGGGTAGCAGAAGTGGTGACATCCCTCCTTCGCTTGGTGGTGGCATTCGTTTTTAGCTAAACAGAACAAGCGGAGGAAAAGCATTGGGAACAGTTCAGCTGGAGTATGCTTGCGTAGCTGGAGTCCTCTTTACCAAGCATTTTATTTTTACTCATTTCGTGTGGAGGTGGGTAGGGGCTCTGGCTTGGTAGTATTTCCCACCACATTGTTTCTCCCCTTGTTAAGCAGAAATTTAGAGACCTCTGAGCCTCTGCAGCGCCCACAGACTCGTTGCAAACTGCGCTCACCCAGCACCTCCCTGCGCCAGACTCTCTGCACCTCTGAGTTTTGGGGAGCATTAGCCAAGGGTCAAACTAGGCCTTCCATGTGAACCCACAAAAGGATGCCGTGGGTTTTCTTTCTGCTCTCACTAAGTGTCTGCCGCCGGGGGGGGGAAACCGTTGCACGCGTTCAGAAGGCAGGAATTGCTTGAGGAAGAAAACGGCTAAAGCTTTCTGTTTTTCAGAAAAAAACAAATACATAGCTCTTATTTCTCATGCTTGTGCTAGAAAACTTAACAGCTGCCAAAGATAAGAAAAAAAGAAAGAGAGTATTAATCACCTTTGAAACATGCTCAGTCAACTTTCCGTAGGTGAGCAAACAGCTAAGCTTTGGCACAAAAGAACAGGAGGAACAGCCATCTGATGGTGGATCTAGCTCACAGGTGGAGAAGCAGCTAAGAACCCCACGCAGCTAAGGCTCTCTAAGGCTCACCTTGAGCAGATCCAGTTCCCAGCACTGGTCCAAGCTGTGTCACCCTCTGTGCTCCCCCAGAAGCTGGTCACGGTCACACCCCTGACCCAGAAAATGACCCTGCCTTGCGGCAGCCAGGGGGTCCCCCACCCCAGGGGACCTCTGAGCCGGCAGAAATACTGATGTCAGGGCTGGAAAGCACGACCTGGCAGATGTAAAAATGTAGGATCTGTCCCAGGGTGGCTTCCGTGCCAGAAAGCATCTGTTTTGCTTTGTGCCTTTTACACTTCCACTGAAAACATTTTATTCTCTGGAGTCCCTTCATCCCGGGGGACTGTCTCGTGGGGGTGTGTGCCCATGGAGGGACCATGGTGGCTGGGAAGACACCCCGGCACCGCAGCCCTGGTTCTCCAGGCCCCACAGCAGGACAAGCAGCCGGGGAGCATGGGTGGCAGCGGGCAGGGCTGCCTTTGGAGCCCACTCGTGACTGGGGCTTGCTCCAGCCCTTTTTCTGCATCCCCAGAGAAGGGAGGCTTGGGGGGATGAGGCAGCCAGTGCAACCTCGGGATTCTGTAGTGTTTCAGTAGACAGGGAACACACATCACCCCTGCTCTGCCAAAAACTGTGTTTTAACCTAAAAAGTGACAACTGGGTATAATGGGAGCTCTGCATATGGCTTCCCAGGGACCCCCGACGACAGGAGGAGACGGGTTCTCTGAAGAGGGGGCGATGCCTTACCGAAAGCACAGTTCTCTCCCTCGTAGCCCTCGGCGCAGGTGCAGGTGTAGCCGCGGATGCTGTCCTCCAGCCCCCTCCCCGGCGGCGAGCGTTGCCGAAAGCAGTTCGGAAAGGAATGGGCTACGTCTCTCCGAACTGCTCCTCAGGGGTAATTTTAGCCCAGGTCTCTGCTTCCAGAGGTGTTCCCACAGCGTCTGGCAGGGAGGCCGGGAGGTGCCCAGAGGCGGAGCCTGCTGCTGGAGGACAAATGCTCGGCTTCAGGAAGAAGCACTGGCTTACAGTTCATGGATTCATTACGAATGCAGTATGAGACTGGTGTTTTAGGTCTCCTGTGTTAGCTTGATATGCATATGGATAGAAAAATGATTATATGCATATATGCAGAGAAATCAAGAGGCCAGCTTACCGTGGTAGGCATCCCAAAACATTTTCTGAAACAAAAAGGGAAATTAGATTTTAATTCTCAAATAAGATAATCTTCCATATATATTTTGGTAAAACAAAAACATTACATGAGACAATATATACTATGGTTTAACATTTATCCAGCTGCACAACTACAAATTCTGCCCTGTCAGCAAAATTCGAACGAGATGGGAGGGGGTTTGCATCCTGCTCATTTTATTGTTTCTTAAGAAGCTATAGAGGAAAAGAAACACTTTGCAGGCAAGAGAGGAAGAGCTGAGCTGAACCCTTTAGCATTACGGCTTTCTGGCAAAACTGGCTGACCATTCTCTGGCATGCAGCGGTTTGGAAAGTGACCCCATCCCGTCCCATCCCATCCCATCCCATCCCATCCCATCCCATCCCATCCCATCCCGTCCCATCCTGTCCCATCGGGCTTGTCCCCCAGCAGGTGCTGCTGGAGGCAGAGAGCGGAGTTGCAGGTCACTAGCGCTGGTCACCACCTTCACGTGCTCCACTTTTCCCTGGGTACACTCAGTCAGCTCTGCCACTGCTTTCCCCGAGGGGACACCTCTCCCCACCCTGTACCTCCCCTCTGTCAACTTCCTCCAAAGCACCGGGACCACCCGCGGGCAGCCCGATGGCTGTTCCCTCTGCTTCCCCTGCCAACATGATCTCCAGCCAGATTCCCATAACAGAACACAGTGTCCAGCTGTACGTCTGGCTGTACATCTGGCTGTACGTGGCAGGATGGCCTCTTGTACAGGGGGACCTGCCACCCGCTGACCAAGCGAGCCTCTCTTCATAGGTCCCACTTCTTGCCCGTGCGTTGCTTCCCTTCATCTCCACATCTCCCTGCCCCTCCTGGTCCCTAAGTGTGGCTGAAGCTGTGTCTCTGCACGTGGTCAGGGTGGGACAACAGCCGTAAACTTTCACAGCAGAAGGAGCAGGGCACATCATTTCCAGGAGGGGACTTCCAAAGTGTCAGAGTTGACTTCTGCATTTCCATTTTGACCACTGCAGACATCTGCTTTCTAACTGCTGAGGTGGAAAGTGCAGAGATTTCACATGGAGAGAAACCCAAAGAAATTAAGGTGGCTGTGGAGCTGTACTTGGTAGTAAAGGACCAAGGCAGTAATTTTTATTATGCATGCAGGAAAACAAAATACTTACGAGCATTTCATCATTTTCAAATACTTCTCTTGCTTCTTCTTGTGTGCATCTCTCTTCAAGGCATTCCCTTTCCAAGCTGCCTTGGAGGACCTCCTCCAAAAGTAGGGAACTGGCACGCCTCTGTCTATTAATAACGTTGTTTGCATCATCAGCTGATATAAACACTGGAACATTGTATGACAAAGTGGTAACGTGAGTACTTAGATTCGTTTCTCTACATACTGTTACCTCCTTTTTTTAAAGATAAATCCTTTTGATTCAGGGTTTCAGCCACATTAAACTTAGATACTGAAAGAGCCCTATTTTCTTAGCCGAAACTCAGCTGAGGAGTTGTGAACTTTTACTTTTGGAGAGTGCCTGGTTTGCTCCCAAGCAGGGACAATTTGAAGCCCTTGCCAACACTTTTTTTCCTGCATCAGACGCGCAGAGCAGCGTTGCTGTGGCATGACCAGGGAAAGGGGTAAAGTATTATCATAAAGACAGACACTATTTGGTAAGACCGCATGGGGCTTTCAGATTGCAGAGCAGCGTTGCTGTGGCATGACTAGGGAAAGGTGTGAAGTATTATCATAAAGACAGACACGATTTGGTAAGACCGCATGGGGCTTTCAGATTCATCAGTAGAGGTGAAAATGATTTGTATTAATTTATGATGGTGGATCCCAACTGATGCCCTGCAGTCTTAGTTCGCAGTGATTTTTTTGCTGAGAAGCAAAACCATGACATTGCTGAGTTCTCAATCAACTCTGTTTTATGGGGAATAAATAAAAGCTGCATCTCAACGATGCTCAGTGTTAAGAGGGCTTTATCATGTACCATCCTATATGTGGAAGACACCACCATCTTTTTGATTTGAGTAAAGAGGAGGAGAGATCAAAGACATGAGAGTTATCAGATCTTATAACTCCTCTTTGCAAGGATACCCACAACAAAAGCTGCCTGCCAGCGGGACGGCTGGTGCTGTGCAGGAGCAGGCTGCCTTTGACATTCAGGATCATGGGGCTGTGTGTCTTCGGGTTTTTATTTATTTTATACGGAGTTTGGGAGCCCAGCACTGCTGGGCACAAAGGTTGAAATAATCGATAATACTAGAATTGGAAAAAGTGACAGCAGTAGCAAACCTCTCCTGAAACTGCGTACAAATGCTTAGTTGTGCTTTTGAAGGATAGCTGGTAAGCAACAGGCTTCCACGTAACATTAAAAAAAAAAAAAAGGAAAAAAAGCTTCATGTTTTGCAATTTAAAAAGTTATCTGACTCCCCAGTGCACATTTCTGCAGTGCAATGTTTCTGATGCATCAGCATAACTGGATGCATTTGTGCTGCTGCCAGGGGCGTTTTGACCTTCTGAAGCCCTCACCATCTTTTTCGTCCTTGCCCAGCTCCTCCTTAATATTGACAAACCATGGAGGGTTAATACGGAAATATTAATTTCTTCAAGCTATAAAAAGCATTCATCTCAGCCTCTTTCATAAGACTTATTTCTATTTCAGCAGCAACTAGAAATACAAAACAAATTTCTCTTTGATATCTGGGGTACTCTTTAAGAAAGATAACAAAAGACGGAATATCACCCTGGTGTACATGATGGTAATTCAAAATTGCTTTGCCTTAGTAACCTACTGCAGTTTTCACTTTGCTATATATATAAAAAAAAGGCAAACCAGGAGAAATGTAACGAAAATCAGGAACAGACAGTTCTCAGTGGTGTCACCCTGCGCTACAAAGTAAACACTTTGTAGGCACGGTACAACATTCAT